TATAAAAAGGTATACTGACAAAGTAATACAGTTTTACCAAATGTAATACAATTACCTTTATACAGCTTTATACAATTGCTTGTATACCTCTGTATGCAAACTTACTGTCGACGTTTTTTCACCCGGGCACCCGCATGTATGGCCTGTTAGAGCATAATTTTGTCATCTGTTTGTCATTTGTGATACGACAAAAAAATTACCAAAATAAATCGAGATAATTACCAAATTAATGACAAAATAAATTCGTATGAATGCCAAGTCGATTTGCCATTATTAGAGCGACTGAACCAATTTCGAATCAGCCCCCAATTCGGATCAATAATACCTACACACGCTCCCTCGCTAAAATGTATGGGTATTAATTTTGTTGTTGAAAAGGTTTGTCGTTTTCTACCAGAAAATACCATCGCTTCGTCCTAGTGCGGCCCGCGCGCCTCGCGCGGGTGACTTAAACATGAATATTCATTGTTTAGGGGATGGGAGAATGTTGTGGTTTAATGAAATTGACAAAACTTGGTACGTACGCATAATGCCGCATCAACCCAGGTATCAATCTTTAGTTGAAGGCCCGGAGAACACGTTTCAAACGTGGATTCGACCTAATATCATGCCAGGTTAAAACGCGGGTAGAGGTTAAAGCGGCTTAAAAGTCACAACCCTTGAGTCGAGTTTTTCGAGCAGCTTCGATTTAATGCTGGTCGAAACTGTTTTGGTTCTCACTATTACTTTGTTTTGTCACAGGTTATTTCAAAGGGTTGCTTTAGGACCCATACTTGATCATCCAGGACAGTCAAGGACCATATTTGCCAGTTTCACTGCATTTCATGTCGATTTAGTAAAATATACTCTTACATAACCTCGATCTCCCGCAATAGGCATTCCAGCAGATCAAGAATATGACGTTTACTCGTCTTTTTCACTAAAACAACTGCCGAGTGTGATGCTGGTCGGTTTCTTAATTACTAGTTTCATTTGATCCGAATTAGGTTCACATGCTTATTTCGGATCAGGCAAAAATTCACAGACCCTGTGGACTGTGGACCAAAATCTTGATTGCTTCTAGAGTAGGGTGGAGTGAAAATCTGGGATCTTAAAAGTCGACATGGATTATTGTACTTCAAGATATCCTAAGTTTAGCTGCAGGGTCGATTTGGAACCATCGGAAGCCCTTAGGCTAGGTCTGCAGGGCTAAAACACCACTTTTTGACCTCCAGGGGTCAGTCTAAGGGTCATCCGGGAAACGGCTATCTCTTAAAAGGTGCGGAATACATCCAAGTAAGTACCCACGAAGTTTGAACCCGCTGCGCCATCGTTTTCATTACCTGAAAAAGCGTTTCTCACTCATATCTTCAGAACCATCGGTCAAACAGAAAAAAATAAAAAAATGAAATCGTGTTGTCTTGTCGAGATGCATCGAAAACATTATCTGCTTTCATATCCGTTCTACCAAAGTTTGGGAGATATGGTCAAAAATCACAATTTTAGGCTGTTTTTGGACATTTAGCGGTGGCCCGATATGGAGACGAAGAGCTGGATTCTGATTATGAGGATCTAACATGACCGAGATGAAAACTTTACAAAAGAGAAGTTCCACCTTATCATATTTTGGAACAGGAAATAGTAAACTTAGCTCAAGCTGAATAAATAAACAGTACTCAGCAAATTATCAACATTACACTTGAGACTTGTGCCAGGCAAATTGCAGCTGGCTCAGTCTTTAGAGATGTCTCCTCCTAGTTCATCAAGTAAATCAAAAACTACACTAAAAGACTACACTGAAAACAACTAATTGGTTTGATGTTTCATATGCTTGTACTCTCGCAACAGTAGAGAGGGTGGGCGGGAGTCGCGTCAGGCTCATAATCCAGCTCTTCGTCTCCATATCGGGCCACCGCTGGACGGATGTCGTTCAAATCAAATCATACTTGAAGACCTGTAGTATGGCGCCACACTTATTACCTACCTCATACCAAACAACAGTGCTAACCTTACGCATCACCACCAACATTTAACAAGCAGGCCCGCCCTTCCGCCAAACGGAGTTGCCAGCTCCACTTCGCTGCGCCGGCAACTCCGTTCGGCAGGGGCCGGGCCGGCTTGGCCTGCCGGCGGCGATGGTCTCGCGATTTACTGAAGAACATAACCAAATAAATAATGTGACCGGTAAATCACTTTGCATATTTGGGTAAACTAACTTCCGGTGGAGGGCCTGCGGCGCTAGAGATTTGCTCCTTTCACATGACAAAAGACTTTAACGGGGCAACACTGTGACCACACCCCACCCTTCTGCTTTGCTTCAGAAAAATACAAAAAAAAAGAACCAGTTCAGTTTTTAGATTGTATTTTTTGTCAAACAGTCTTAAAACTTGACTTTTTGCCATTGTTTTCAATGTATCCACCTCTAGGGCCGAAATAGTGAAAGATACGGCAAATCCGAAGGTAGTTCCTAATTCAGAATGTGTTGTTTTGGGGGTTATTTCCTCTTCCATTTTACGATTGGAAGCCTCCTAGTACGTCTTTATGCGCAACGTGGTCATTATCTCCGTATTTTCGTCGAAAAAAGCACTCTAGCGCCCAAACGGTGCAAGATAGAGTCGAACGGACAATATTTTTTTCCTACTTTTTGGACCAACCCCTATTTCTTTGCTACCCCCTTTCACCCCCTTAGGGGTGGTTGCCAGGATTTGCACCAGCACTGTTAAAAAATTTTCATTACATTTTAATAACATTTATATGAAGCTATTTTCGTGATGAAAATTTAATAACAGTGTTATGAAAATGTCATAATTACATGCACTGAAAAGGGGCGTGTAATGAAATTTCAATAGCGTGTAATGAAATTTCAATAGCGTGTAATGAAATTTCATAACACATGTTATTAAAAAATTGACAACTTTCTAAAAAAAATTGTTTCGCTCTAACCCTTATGGCATCAACTCCTCAACCAACTAACGGATTTTACAGGCCGTAACCATAGAAGTTTACCGTACCTTACCGGGAGTTGAACCCGGAACCCTTGGGTTGGAATACCCTCGCCTTTGACCACTAGGCCACGAGGATTACCTGAGAGTGGTCGAGGTGTAACGTGGTCTTATGCCACCACTGGCCGGAGGGAGTTTCCAAACTGTTTAATAATCATGTAATGAAGATTTAACAACATTATTATGAAAATGTCATAACATGCACTGAAAAGGGGCGTGTAATGAAATTTCAATAGCGTGTAATGAAATTGCCATTAAATTTAATAACACTGTTCTTAAATTAAGAGTGTCATTAAATTTCATGACAAATTTATTAAAATTAATGTTTATTGCGTAATGAAATTTCAAACATTTTTAACAGTGAGGCGTTTCGTTGTCCAGGAGTGACCCCTAAGATACCCTTAAATTTGTAACCTCTAGCTCACCTCCTTCCTCTTACACGGACGACGGACGGACGGACACGAGAGCGGTTGCATAAGCCCGCTTTAATGCTTTTTTAAAAGCAGAAGGGCGGGCTAAAAAGACTGTTTAAGTGTAGACGTAGTGGAGACAACTAACATACGTCTTTATTTAGATGTGACGGAACCGGACGGAAGATTTTTAAAAACATATGTTTTAAAAGGATATTATAGACCAAGCCTTGTACCTCATATCTAAAACAAAGAATTTAAGGGACACTGTACTACCAAAGTTTTGATTATTATATCTTAGGTATAGTACATATCACTTTATCTGCAATATTGTTATGAACATCTTTAATATCTTGATATTGATATATCTACCTTTGGTCTAAATTACCCCTACGCGCCATCTATGTGCAGTTCACTGCCATGGGTGAGCGGGATATTTCGAAAATTTTGAACATATTTCCCTTTGCTTTGGATTGAAATGTGTTAAAGACAACATGGACGTGGTGAAGGGCTTCACTTGAAAAGGCCTAAGTAATTTTTACACCTCAAGAAAGCCGCTTGGAATCTCAGAAGATAGATACCCGCAGTTAGCCCCCCCCCCCCCTCCCCCAGCGATCGTCCCGTGGTCTAGTGGTTAAGGCACCGGGATTCCAAGACGCAGGTCGCAGGTTCGACTTCAGGTAAAGGTTAAAGGTAAGGTAAAACTTGACAATGAAAGTGACGTGAAGAAAGGCGGAAGAAGGGAAACTATGGAAAACAAGGTAAATGCTAAATAAAGGATAAAAATTTGAAAGTATTTTAACGATAAAAAGAAGTTTATCTACTCACGTATATAAGATTCTAAATTTAAGAACGAAAGTGTGCACTTAGATCATCTATTAGACGTCTTTGCTAGACGTCTATTAGACCATCTTCGATCTATATGTAGACATATTAAAGACGTCTTTTAGTCGTCTATTTTCCCTGTGGGAAACTACACACTGGTCTCAATTTTATATCATCTGCTTTCACGATCCGTTCTAACGGAACTTTTTGATTCAGAGTACGTGCAATAGCGATCCGTTATGTTTGGACCGAGTCACTGCTGGTGAAACGGCAGATAACTTTCAGAGTACAGCAGAAGACGCAAGTCGGAGTTCTTACTTGTATAAACCCTCTGTGCGAAAAAAGTAAATTTTATGATAAAGGCTCCTATGTGTTTAAACCGAGGACCGAGGAAATACTCGAGTATAGTTTTTGATTAAGATATATAATAAAGAACCCAACCTCTTTTCAGACCTGTGACAACGGCGTCGAGGCGCGGCAGCTCAAACCGGGAATGGGGTACGTACACGAAAAATCTTGAGAAATTGTGTTTTCAAAAGTCTATTCATGAAATACTGTCTGACAAATCAATATAATTCATTGAATATATGTTTAAGGACTGATTTACAACACGCATTCAGCGGAATAGTAGAAAATATGTTCTAGATTGCCCCAACAACTCTCTATAGGCGTTGGCTGATGTGGTACTCAAACGTCGACTCTTTTCATACTTCAGTAGCTCAATATTTCGCATATTGCACGTACTCTTCGGGCTAGCATGCATGGCCATGGCGAATGTGCTTCCTGGCAAGGGGGATGACCATAACCATAGTCACAACTAAGTCCATGAATAGACCCATGGTGACAATTACCATTGTCATGTAGGACGTGCATGAAGACAAGTTTGGGCATGATACTGTTGTCGATGGACACAAAGATCATAAAAGAACGAATCAAAGGCCCACTGTATTGTTAATGGACATTAGAGTGCAGCGTAGTCGCCCGACTCTTGAATTTGAAAAAAGTCCCCCTCTTAATTCAAGCAATTGTTAATGTAGTTTCCGGAACCGACCTTGATTTTTCGCTGAGTCTTAAACTTCAGGTTCCTACCTCGCCTAACAGTTGAGGAACTTCACTATTTTGCAGTGGAATCGAATGGTCTAGTAGCCATAATCATTTTTAGTGCTGGAAAATTTTTACATCACAAAAAAGTGAACTGCAATGCACGTGGTAGTATTCAACGCCATAGTGCACACGTTTCAATATTGCACTGAAAATGTAAATGTAAATTTGAACACAGAAAAGTGTTCAAAGCGTGATTATAAAAACAACGAAAAAAAAATATTTTCAGGTTTAAATTAGGGCCCAATTGTAGTGGACTGTAACTATTACATATTCAGCTCCTTTCTAGGCTAGGCATACTATTTAAACACCTTTTCAAAGGCATCACAGGAAACGCTTAAAAATATGAGGCCTTGATTTTACCACATCCTTTCAGGCATTGTGTATGTTGCGGCTTATTTGATTTATCAATGTACTGTACTACCCTAGTATGCCTTAGCACGTTTTAGTGTGCGTTGTTGCAAAAATACACAGATGTACGAGTAAGTACGCTACGCAAGTTGTTTCCCCTTCGATCAGTGTATCCTTCCCTGCACCTCATGTTAGAAACAAATCCAGTAATGGACAAAAATATTGTTCCAAAATTAAGACTGAATTAAAAGTACTGCAAGTTTACTAACCCGGAAACCAAGTTTGCTTGCTAACTGTCGTTCTCTGGAGGCTGTTGCGTGGATCTCCGATGATTTCCTTTGGATGATACTATTGATGAGCATATCAAAAAGGGTTTTCGCAGCTTCAGTATCGCGATACATTTGGGTCCATTTGAAAATCCAATCAGGCCACAAAAAAGGATTGAGGCTGCGTCGGTTAACAGATTTTAAAGCGCGCGGAACCAGGCTAATGATTTCCTGCACAAAAAAAAGATGTTATTGGTGATTTGTAAAATCGACAACATATTGGGCCTTCTAAAATCTCATAGAATCTCATGTTTTTTCAAGGATTGTGTTGGGCGAGAGGGCCAACCACCCTTTTATTAAATTGACAACCAAATTTACAATTTGTTAGCCTAATCTGCTTTTTTAAAAAAACATACTGTCGAAATACAACATTAATCAAAATCTCGGAAACCAAGTTTCCGGCCAAGTTGTCACTTTTGTTTTGCTCTAGTAAAATAAAAAAAATTGCAATAATACAAATTGTAACGAAATGTGTTGCTAACAAAATTAACTACTCTTTTCTTCCACGTGTACAGCAAAGTACTACCGAGTAGTTTTCGTTGTGGGTCAATGTAGGCCGAATATCACAACTTTTAAGAAGATTCAAAATGAAAACAACATTTCTGTGATAAGACAGGAGTGTTATCCCGCAGTCTGGCGTCAGGTGACAGTTATCTTTAACAGTGCATAAGCAACATTTCCCAATAAACTTACTTCCAAAATACTGCATTCCCTTTCGTTTAACGTTGAAGACATCATTGTTCGGATTGCCATGAAACTCGCAGTTCGGATCATTGTGTCACTGCAGTCCACGTCTTTGTGAAGCATGCCGGAGAGTTTGTCAACAAATTCTTTTGCTTCCATATCAAGAATTTCAACGTAGCGGCCCATAACCTCCGCATGGAAAGTAGGCGTGATGACAAGGCGGTGTGCCTGCCAAGGTTCGCCATTGCTGGTAAAGATGCCATCCCTAATTATTGGCTTTAAAGGTCCGTAGAACATCCAAGGCTTATCGGAGAAATGTCGATCTCGTAACACCTGCAATGCAAAGAAATTACCGCTTACGCACAACTTACTGCGTACTATGCCCGAGGGTGGAAATCGCTTGCGAAATAGTATGTACACCTTCATCCGAAATGGACCAAATGGACACGAAATAGTCGCGAAATACCCCCGAAATACTGCGAAATACCGCGAAACACCCTGAAATAATCCGATATAGGCGAGAAATAACCGAAATGGTAGGAGAAATACCACGAAATAGCCCACTAAGAACCTTAGTGATTTCCCCCTCACGCCCACCCTAGCCTAGCCCATCCCATCCCAAAAACGTTTTCGAGTTACGGAGCCTTAACGGTAGTTTCGACACTGCAAAATGCTTGCAAAGAATAGGTTCGTATTGCAAACTATTTTCTTTGCAGCTTGCAAAGAATTTTCAAGCATCGTAATACGAACTAGTTCTTCGCAAGCTTACAAACTATTTCTTTGCAATGCAACCACATTGTTTGCAAGGATTCTGCCAGCTTGCAAAGAACTTCTTTGCAATACGAACTAATTCTTTGCAATACAATGCTCACAAATTCTTTGCAACGTTGCAAAGAATAAAGTTTTGCAAGCATTTTACAGTGGACCTATAAGAGACCGTGTGCAAAGTCCGGGGCCTGTGCGACACGTTCACCCGGATCGCATTGCGATTTTCGTTTTGGCCCAACCTCGGCACCAAACAGGTATACCACCTTCCTTGTAGGCGCTGCACTGCGCGCACGTTGGGACCGGGGCGAACGACTCGGGCTGAAAGTGTTACTCTATGGGCTCTGCCTTGTATCAGATGTGAAGGATCTGAGCCACGGACACACGGGGCGCGTCCAGGGGCCTAAAAGTGCGCCCGACGTCACTCGCCCGTAACAGAAAATAATGCCGACGTAGCCCTAACTTTTTATTGGATGAAAACCGAGGGCACACTGAGACCTTTCAGAATCAGTAATGTCTGCGGGGTAGCGGTTACGCGTTCACAAGAAAAAGTTTGAAAAACATGTATTTGCGCCTGTGGTGACGTCACTTAGCCTGCCTACACTACATGCCTGTAGTGCACAGTAGCCTAGTACACAGGCGTTTTGGACTTTTTTTGCCTTTTCCATTTACCGCCTCACCGCTACCCCGCAGACATTACTGATTCTGAAAGGTCCCAGTGTGCCCTCGGTTTTTATGCAATAAAAAGTTAGGGCTACGTCGGCATTATTTTCTGTAAATGGCGAGTAAATGGCGAGTGACGTCGGGCGCACGTTTAGGCCCCTAGACACGTCGCGTGTGTCGGGAGCACGGATCCTTCATATCTGATACAAAGAAGGACCCATAGGGTAACACTTTTAGCCCGAGTCGTTCGCCTCGGCCCCATCGTGCGCGCAGTGCAGCGCCTACAAGATGGCGTGCCTGTTTGGCGCCAAGGTTGGGCCAAAACGAAAATCGCAATGCGATCCGGGTAAACGTTGTCGCACAGGCCCTGGACTTTGCACAGGGTCTCTCATAGGTGAAATCTACCATTTAGGCCCCGTACCTCCGAAATTCACGATTTCGACCCACGAAATGGGATGGGCTAGCCCACCCCTGCGCAAGTGGGGTGGTTGTATGAGGAATCGCGCGGTTGGCCTCTATCGTCTAATATCGGTCTTCCTGTCAAGGCCGCAGTAAGACCGACCCGCGAGATCACCGTGCAGGGTAAGTGGTCCTGGACGAATAATAATCGCTTCAAGCCAATGTGTGTGGCACCTTCGATTTTTGGAAACAAATGCTTATCTGGCATTGGTTTAAGTGCTTTCTTATTCACGATTGTAGACATGCTTACGAACGACAAAATTTGCGGGATTAAATTTCACTGGTATTTTATTTTATTACTTAAATTATTCAATTTTAGGGCACGTCCTGAATTATGATACCAATGTGCTCCTATCTCATTGCCAGCTTTAGAATTATCACTACACAAATTTTGGATTTCAGAACTTTTTGCTCTGAAGTTTCATTACCATTTCATGTAATAAAATTTAAAAACCAAGAAGTGATAGTAATTACATTACCAAAATCTGACATTTTAATCTGAATTTTTTAACAGTGTGGTTGCCATGATTTGCTACACGCGTTTTGTTTTCTAGGAGTGAAGCTCAAGATACCCTGAAAATTTTAAGTCTCTAACACATCTCCTTTCTCTTACACACACGACGGACGGACACGAGAGCGATTGCACAAGCCTGCTTTAATGCTCTTTTAAAAGGAGAGGGTCGGGGCTAAAAACGCGCTATATGACGGAAACTTACCTTTGCGATGTGGTCAGCATCATTAACCATGACATGAAGTTTGTTAAAAGCTGAATATCTCACTAATCCTGGCCAATAAGGCTTGACGGAATCCAGAATCTTTTCAAGGCAGTTGTCTGCATTCAAACTAAGCCAAAAGACCGAGCCAAAGAAAGGTACGGAGAACGGACCTATGATTAAAAAATAGAAACAAAACGAAACACTTTCATAAATCTGCCAGCACACTATGCATGGGTTTCACTCATATTTGCTAGTAAGGGAGACCGGGGCTACTTGGGCTGTGAAGTGGAAGAAGGGGATAAGTACAAAATACGCACTTTTCAGGAAATCAAAAAAAACTATTTGCACATAACTTTGTAGAAATGTTATGATGCAGATGGAATGCACTTCCAAAAAGAATATTATTGGCACTTTGAAACTTTTCACTATCACGCTCTTTTATTGAGTTATGGACTTAACTCTTTTCTCCACGCAACATAAGGAGACAAGTCGACTTAACTCTTTTCACATGTCCAGAATTTGGAGTTATGTCATTGGAAAATTTGCAAAAGGGGTTAACTCTTTTATGCATATGATGCAAAAGGAGGTAAGTCGAATTATTTTTTTCCGTCACTCAGTCAAGTAGACCCGGATATGGGGTAGCCCGTATCAAAAAAAAAAAAAGTCATTGAGGTTGCACCCTCTAAAGATCGTAAGGAACTTGTGAAGACACTGTGCAAAATCTGGGCGCCACCAGACAACGTTTTCCCGGCCCGGATCGCATTTGAAGTTAGGTACTAGAAGCGACCGCGAGAGAGGCTACCATGCTGATCCCCAGCTGCGCTCTGCTGGAGCGCCTAGGAACGACGGGGCACGGGTCAGGTGAGACCCTAAAAACCCTTCTTCCCAACTGCCAAGGTGTATCCAGTGTCAGATCAAATGCGTCCTCTAGAGGGGCGTAAGTGTAGCGATAGCCCATGTCATGTTTGACGGAACAAATTGCCAGTTTCGAATGTTTTTATTTACCGGACATCAGGGTTGCCCTATATTAAGGGTAAACCAGTCAAAAACGCCGGGTAGCGCTGACGCGATTGTGGTGGAAATTAAAGTTATTTCGAAAATGCCTGTCAGCTAGGCCAAAAACTTTACAGGCGTGTAATGTAGGTGGCCTAACTGACATCGACACAGGCGCAAATACCCTTCTTTTCCAACAAAAAAAAAAAAACCTATCGGAGCCCTGGCGCTACCTGGCGTTCAGAACGGTTGTGGTCTAGGCATGGAAAAACCCTAATTTCCGCAAATAATTTAACATCGAAAAACAAAGCTGATGAGTCGA